TTCTAGAGCCTCATTTGGAATAAACGCCTCTTTCAAAAACACCCCGTTGCGTGTATTTTTCCCTCGAATAAACTCCCCCTTGACTGTAAAACAGATCTAATGGAAACATCATTCCCAACACTTTCTACCAATGTTTTACTCCAGTAAATTACATTTTAATTACATGCTGTTTTTAATGTTTCACTGCTTTTGATTGACTTTCGGTAAACTGGGTTTATGCAATCTGGGATTCGGCAAACTGGATTTCGACAATAAGGCGTAGATCCTACGAAACCTCACCACCAGGCCCTCCCACAGCACCAATCGGACGTGCAGTGACGGCGCCAGATATGAAGATCCAAATTTCTCGACAATCCATAACAGGAAATTTCACTCTGAGACCGTAAAAGTATGTGTTCGCTACGAAATTTTTCGATGGGAAGTCCAAGATCCCGTTTCCCAAGATCATCTATCCCTCACCTCCGCTGGTGGCGCCGACACTGATGTTTTCCGACTTCAAATATAAAGACATTTCTTGAGAGATGTGTACAATAATTCTGATAAATATATATAAAAACGAATACAATGCAGGAAATAATATTAAACTGTATAAATACATATAGATTTTGTGAACATTAACGGCATTAGGACCACTTTACGCTGCAATATTCTATTTTTATGAATGTGTATTTTATGCGATTTTAATCGGCCTATTTAAATCAAAGTTTTATGACCCATAGATCGTGTTAAGTCACTATATAAATAATGTTACACTTTATTAAATTAATTAAAATGATTTAGATAGAAAAATTATATAGAATGTATATACAAACAATGATTTTGAGAACATTAACGCCATTAAGATCATGGATTTATATATAGCGATGTTATAATAGGCCTACTGTATTTAAAACGCATTTTACGACCCACGGAACCTTTTTTAAGTCATTATATAAATAATATTATAATTTAATAAATTGAATTAAATGATTTCACTTAGCCTACTTTTAAAGAGTACTTAGATTTACATTGTTAAATGTAGGTTGCAAAAACATGTGTCACGACTATACGGTATGTCATTACACAACAACAAATCTTTAGCTCTGTTTTTTTACTGCTGTTTACATTTTCACTCAGATATTCCGGTTTAATGCCATTGTATGAAAAAGACTCAAAACAATTTCAGAGCACAGTCTCCAGTCTGAAAACGTAAGCCTGAACAACAACACAACAATGGATACCGCAATTAAATCTAACACTATGAAGGCATACAGGCTTGTACAACTACAGTATGGTACACTCTCAACTTACCTATATGTATATTTTCTTACTTATAAGAAACACCATTCCAAAATTAAATATTTTAGAAGATGTTTTTGCGACTACGTGTTTACGACACAGTTCCGGTATTTCACATACGCGCAATTGTCTCAACCATAATTTGGATATTATGAGACAGGTGCCAACCAGGTATATGAAGGAAAATTGCTGTCAAGGACAGTAGTGCCCTACCAGGCTAAACCTACAAATTATTAGTCTAGCGCTCACCCCTTATTAGCGTCCACCCTCGAATTGGTCTAGCACTGGGGCCGAAACGTTATCCGACCATTTTGTAAAAATCCAGTTTGCCGAAACCCATGATTGCCGAAATTAATGGCCTCTTTGCCGAAACACAGTTTGCCGAATCCAGTTCACCGAAATAATGACAACCCAGTTTGCCGGAAGCCAGTTTGCTGAACCATTTTCCGTTCACCATCGTACAAAAGTACAGCATACTATGCTTTTAAAAACATGATGGGTGGATCAAGGAAGAGCCATATTTACATTCCCCTATTTGTACCCGTGTAAACGCTCCGCTTTGATTAAATGCCCCTTCTAGAGTCTCATTTGGAATAAACGCCCCTTTCAAAAACACCCCGTTGCGTGTATTTTTCCCTCGAATAAACTCCCCCTAGACTGTAAAACAGATCTAATGGAAACATCATTCCCAACACTTTCTATCAATGTTTTACTCCAGTAAATTACATTTTAATTACATGCTGTTTTTAATGTTTCTCTGCTTTTGATTGACTTTCGGTAAACTGGGTTTATGCAATCTGGGATTCGGCAAACTGGATTTCGACAATAAGGCGTAGATCCTACGAAACCTCACCACCAGGCCCTCCCACAGCACCAATCGGACGTGCAGTGACGGCGCCAGATATGAAGATCCAAATTTCTCGACAATCCATAACAGGAAATTTCACTCTGAGACCGTAAAAGTATGTGTTCGCTACGAAATTTTTCGATGGGAAGTCCAAGATCCCGTTTCCCAAGATCATCTATCCCTCACCTCCGCTGGTGGCGCCGACACTGATGTTTTCCGACTTCAAATATAAAGACATTTCTTGAGGAAGTGCCCTTATATGGCATTTTCTTCTTACTGATTTGAGCAGCCATACATTACATTACATTATAAACAGAGGAAAACAATAGAAAATTCACTCATAAATACTGGGAAGGTGTTCGGCTGGGGTAGTT